AATAAAAAAAATGCCATCAACGAATCGGATATAAAGCAGAATTCGGAATTCTGGCCAGTGTTCTTTAAGGTCTTTCACCTCAAGGTGGTCTATATTAAGATCGGCTAATAGAGCGCTCACCACGGAGCCGACGGAACTCCGTACGTCTGATGGCAAGTATTGTTGGCGGATTTGAAACTGGGGCCATTCATCACAAGACTAAAGACAGTCATTAAATCATCCGCGCCTGAAATTTCTCAACACGCTTTCAGATGTCCCCCATTCTTCCATCGTGTTCTTCAAGATATCGTGTAGAATATTAGCCAGCGTGTTAGAATTCGCATTATTGAAAAGGGCTGTGACGTCTAACGAAGTCATGAAACAACCTTGATTACTGTGTTCCTTCGGTCTGCATAGAAACTCCTTTCTGTTTTTGACTGTGTAACTCATCAAATTAGCTGCAAGTTTTAGTGATAAATCTAGCTCTTTGGCAATCTGGCATGTTAGTGCTCCTCTAGCCGGTATGATAAAGCGCAACGCCTTGTCAGGCTTATAGAGCTATATTAATCCATAAGGTTTAGTGATTACACAGGAATCAATACTAGGCAGGATCCTCTGCAGATCCTCTTGAGTGACAGCCTTCCTATTTTGCACATTCCTTAGAACTTCCAGGAGTATCTGGCGCATTGTCTTGTCAGGATTGGTGTATACGTCGCTATTCTTGAACTGATCCAACATTCCAGCTTCATATTTTTTAATGTGCATCATCACTGTTTTCGCACATTTGTCAGCGCAGGGGAACTATTATGTTATTGTCCTTTAACTTTTTCGTTAGTTTTTCAATGGCCAAAGCATGACACGTAGTCTAGCCAGGTTAGGACAAGATTTATGGATGTTATTGCGGGCAGTGAGGCCAGCGCTTGAAGTAATATTCCTTGAAACTTTTCAGCCTTTCTCCACACCAAGTATAGTGTCAGAGATAGAACCAGCAGGATTGGTAATGCTGAACAAAGACCCAGAGCAAGTATGTCTCGTTCAGTTTCCGTCAATGCAACGTTGCTCAGATTCACACTATTAGGCTGTCACCAAAATTCCGATCTGGCCACATCCAACGACTACATAATTACATGTAACGTGTAATCCGATCTCATAGTTACCTTTGGTGACAGGTACAAACTGCGTTAAACACTTTCCAATAATCTCTACAAATGTTAATTTGTACATTATATTTTTTTCTGCTGGATAACATTCTGTTCAATCAGCTTAGCAACGTTTTGATTGTGTAGGATGAGCCAATTGAGAAAATGGTATTGTTCACTTGTTGGTCACAAATGTCTGCAAGGAGTCATTTATACTTAGTCCAGCCTTGATGATGCTGCAGTCTTTGCAGTGAAACGCGTTGGCGATAAACTGCTTTACCATCTGTTGTATATGGTCCCTGAACCATGAATCATTCAAACACATATCGATGTTTGAGGCTATATCTGGAATTAAAGACTGACCTTCGTAGTTATGCTAGAAAAGTACGACAATACAGCTTGCCCACCTTTAAACTAGCTTAGTTATAAACAAATGGGCATTCGAAATCATTCAGAAACCGTAAATGACAACCGATTATCATAGTTGTGTATCTGGATAAGGTATCTGGGGATGAAGTTCTCAAATACATGATAATTAAATGAAGTTCGCGGAAGTTTGAAAGAGATAGGTTCGGAGAGAACCTTTCCGGAGTGGTCATGAAAATTGTCTTTCACAAGTACGCAATAAGATGCTGCTTCTTGAAATTGCACAGTATCTGGCAAATCCCATGCTTATTTTTAAAACCAACCTGATGCAGCAATACAGTGCAACACTAATCAACTCCTAAATGATTAGATCTGTGTTGGCACCAAGCACGTGAATGGTATATTACGGGATGATTTGTATGTTCATTTGGCGCGATGTTGTCAATACACTGGTCAGTCGCCTCGAGACAGGGGTATGACAGGTCTGATCGTACGTCTGTTTGCTTCAACTGACTCGAGTCAGTCAGCGAAAGGTGAGCATTCACGAAATTCTAACGAGGTTTCATCAGTTAGAGTTAGGACGTCTACTCCTATAAAGCAGCCGAATAATTTGGCGCCAACATTAGGACGGAAGGACAGACAGCTGAATTGCTGATTAGAGAGTACGACTCGCCGCCCCTGAGTACTCAGAATGACAGAGTCACTTTTCGACATTGCCCTGAGACAGAGCAACCAAGAAATTTTTTGTTCATTTGATGCTGGTCAGGAACAGACTGAGCAGAGAAAAATGCTTAAATCATTTGATTGGCACATAACCATGCTGACTAAAGTCTACATAATGGTACAGAAGCAGGAAAAATTGAAAAACAGTTTTAACACGATTTATTTTGAAACAACATAAGAAATGTAGCCATTCGGATGATTCTTCAGAAGTACTCGTAATCATCCGATTTACGATATTCATTGCGCTGCGTATAAATAAGCAGCTTTATGTTGTTTTTCAGTA